ATACATGGGGGTGTCTTATTGTCGGAAAAATATGGTATATACCAAATATTTATTAATGATAGTCTTCAAAGGTTAGCTGACATTATGGTCAAAATGTGCATAATGGATGCAAGTCTGTATTAAACCTGAAGCAGTTGATTGCAAAGAAACAGAGACTTTTTGGTGACTGCTTCCTTACTGTGAAATGTACAATTTCAGATACAGGTTTGCTGCTTATTATGGGTACTTGAGATACTCTGGCTTGATTGCTGCAATTTGCTTTTGTATTGTTGTAACTTTGTACATTCCTTTTTTTTAACTAGATGATTGAAACTCACTGTTTATACTTCTCTCTTTATAGATGCTTTCTTCCCAATTAGTTTCAGCCAAAGAGGATCTAATGAAGTTGAGGCGAGACTCACAATCTCTAAGCTTGATGTGCAAAGAAAATGATGGAGTGCTGATTGTATGCCTTGTATCAACATTGTGGCTGAAATGGCTCTGTTTGTTCAATACTGCAAAAGAATGGGAGGGCAAATGCGAAGAACAGAACCAAGAATGGAAATCTGTCAGTGAAGAAGTGAGTAATACGGAAACACTTAGGTGATATTTTCAAGCTCAGTTGTCTGTGGGCTTGCTTGATTGTCTCAAGTACAGAAGGGTTTAAAAAAGATAAAGCCACCTCATTTGTCACATAAGAATGAATAAAGGGGAGATGGTAGTACAGGTAGTCCTGGCTTAATGATGGTAATTGGGACCTGTAACTGTCACTAAGTGTTCCAGTTTCCATCATTAGGTAAATCCTGCACAGTCAGTGTCCTGTGGTCATGTGATCACCATTTGCAACCTCCTGCCACCTTCCCCGATGACTTGGTTTGTCAGAAGCTGGCAGTGAAGGTCACAGATGGCAATTACATGACTGCAGGACACCACGACCATCATAACTGCAAGCCAGTTGCCAAGCACCTGAATCGCAATTACATGACCACGGGGATGCTGCAATGGCCACAACTGTGAGGAACAGTCGTAAGTCCCCTTGTTCAGCACCATTGTAACTTTGAATGGTTGCTGAACGATTGGTCGCTGAATGAGGACTACTTATACACACAATCACGCATGGTGTGGAGAAAATATAGAGGTTAATTTCTCACAGTGCTAGAATCTGGGGTTACCCAGTGAAGTTGAATGGTAACAGGTTCAGTGGCTATCAGTAACTAATAGAGCAATCCTACAAATGTTTATGGAAAAGTAAGTCCCCCTGTATTAAGTGGAACTTATTTCCAAATAATTGTGCATAGAAGTGCAACTCCAATCCATTTGGATGTCCTTTCCATTCATGCCCCACCCCCTTCCATATCACTCATTCTCTTATTTGTATGGCCAATTTTCTCTTTAGTTGGAACGAGAAACAATCATTCTAGATAATCTTCAGGAAGAACTGCCTGAGAGCTTGCAAGACAAACAGCAAGCAACTAAAGAAGAATTGCAAGAATTTCTGGAATCTGCAAGCAATTATATAGAAAATGTGGATACTGAGAAATTGTTGCTACGCTTAATACTTTGCCGATTAAGGAACATTCTGAGTGTCCCTGAAAGTTTGTCTGGAAAGGAGGGCCTTCCTATTGTATGTGAAATACGAAACATGCAGCAACGAACAGAAGAGTAAGTATAAAGCAGTCTATTTCTGAGTGAAGTCCCAGAACATTTTTACAAAGTTTAATTCTGATTTCAAAATACCTTCTGGTGGTTTTTCTTCCCTGACTTGAAGTTTGAACTCCAGATTATCTGGCAAATGTACAAAAATTCCAGATAAAAAGTACTATTTGTCAAAAAAATACTAGGATTTACTTCTTCACACAAGCCTTCCAGGATGAATGTTGGAAGAATGTTTTAATATCTGTTCATACACAACTTTTTATTGCATTTATTTTATTAAATGTTATATTGTTATTTCATGTACCAACACTTCCTAGACACTGCCAGTTTGCTTTCCATTTCACTTGAATGTTATTTTTGTTTTTCCCATTTATGTCAATGAAAGGGAAATGATGCAAGCCTTAGAGTTGCCATAGTTCCTGGCCCCTTAATTTGGACATAACAGGGTCATTCATTTATTCATTCATTCATTCAATTTGTACACCACCTGATTCCCAACAACTCTGGGCAGTTCACAAGAAAACACCAAAACTATAAAACAATAAAAACAAAACAATAAAGAAGAAGCAAAGACGACAAAACCAGGCAGCAGCAACAGCACACACACGCTCACCCCTCAAAAGGGGCTACACCCTTCCTAGCTAAAAACCTGGGGGAAGAGTCATGTCTTCAAGGCCCTCCAAAATGCCAGAACACTATGAGGCACCCAGATCTCAGGGGAAACGTCATTCCTATCACTGCCCACACCACATTCAGGACCAGTTGAAGCTTCCAGGTGGTACTTCAAGGGCAGTCCCATGTAGAGCACATTGCAATAGTCAAGCCGTGAGGTGACCAGGGTGTAAGTGATTGCCTGAAGGGCCTCCTGATCTAGGAAGGGGCACAACTGGCACATCAAATAAAGTTGTACAAAGGCCTTCCTGGCCACAGCTGCCACCTGCTCATCAAGGAAGACCTTAGATTATGCACTACTCTTAAATGGGGAAATGCTGCCCCATCCAAGGTTAAAGATGGAACATTCCCAGACCTGAGTGGCTCAAACACCCACTGCCACCTGGTTTTAGTAGAATTGAGTTGGAGATAGTTTCTCCCCATCCAAACCTGCACAGTCTCCAGGCACTGGGACAGAACCTCAACAGCTTCACTTGGCTGCCCTGGAGTTAACAGATAGTAAAAATGATAAAGATTATATTATATTAATTGTTATATAACATATTTATATAAAATAAATGTATATAAATTTATCTAAATGTGTATAAAATAAAATACTATAGTATCAAAGATAATAAAGGGGCCTTCTAAAATTGTGGCTGCTGTGTAAAATTTGTATGAGTTAAAAAAAATTATTTTTACGAAAGTATGATGAATACTGGATTAAACCTTTAAACTTCCAGCCCTCTAGATGTCTTGGATTACAACTACCCAAATCACTTACTTTGACCACGATGGCTGGGATTAATAGGGATTAAAGGCCAAAATTCCTGGAGAGGTCAACTTCAAAATACATTGTGGTCATTAACTGGGATTGAAGAGTTTGCTTTTCACTTTGTTTTGGTTTAGAACAAAATCAGGTTGGTGGGTGTATGTAAAAGAACTGAAGAGGATCCCAGGGTCTTCTTCCTCTTAATAGTATTTCTAATGGATTTCTTCAGGCTCTGTTCAAAGGCTCAAAAAGAAAAGGAGGCTGTGCAGTCTGAAATTGTGTACCGGACCAAGTGCAATGAAGAACTGAAAGCTATGAAGACTTCATTACAGGGCATCATATCCCAACTCCAGGACATAGATTTAGAAGCTCCTAATGAAAAGGCATTGAAACTTGAGGTTGGTAAGAAGCTGCTTCTGTAGGTAGTAAACTAATACGTTTTAGCTAAATAAAATACTCTGTGCCCAATTCTTGAATTGCAAAGTGCTGTATCACTAGCTGTGGTCCCTCTAATAGCAAGCCACAATTTTTAGAATTGCTTTGTCCGTTTTTCCCTTCTACATTTAATTGCTTAACAAACATGGTAAACAGATGATATCATCCATACACACCTAACTAGAGAGGGAATGCTGTAGAATTTTTCTTTTCCATTGCATTTCGTGAAATTCAGAAAGCTCTTTCAAGTATTGCTTATTTGGATGACCAGTTTATTGAAAAGACTATATAGAGAATCACAGAATGCTAGCTTTGGAACAGATTTTTAAAGGTCGTGTAATCCAAACCTTTGCATAGTGCAGAAATCTGTAAATGAATCATTCCTGATAGATGGCTGCCCATCAATCAAGGAGACTATACTATTTGCAGGGGTACCTGTTCCACTAACACAGTGTTGTCCAAACTTGGCCACTTTAAGATGAGTGGACTTCAACTCCCAGAATTCCCCAGCCAGCATGGCTGGCTA